CGAGCAATGGCAACACTGTGCGAAATAAAACATTTTATCTCTACGCACGAGAATGTCTGTCAGAAGTTCTAAAGATACGATGTTTTTTAATATTTTGTTATTTTGCTGTTGAGTTTTATATAACCTAAGTTCGAAAATGCGATATTTAATAATATTAACAAGCAGAAGGTTAATAATTAAAAGATAAAAAAATTTTGCAAGCCATCTTACTTAGAAAACTGAATATCGATATGACGAATTGAGAAAAGACTGAAAAATCGAAAATTTAAGCCAACGTTTAACACTGCATCCGAAATTCTAAACATATACTGCTGTGCTTCTTTTAAATTTTTTTGTAATTTTGATGTTGAATTTTATATGGGGTAAGTGCGAAGAAAATGCTATTTAATAGTAAAGCTAATAAGACGAAACAAATTAGTTAGCAGGAGTGAGTAATAGTAGTTTTTATGTCAATAACGGTAAAACTAAATACTTAACAGCTAAATAAAAGATGACCACATCCTCCCTCTGAAACTGCCACAATTCTTTTTGGTTGAGACCATATGTGAAAGGGGTGGGTAGGCAATTGCTAGCGATTTAAAATATTGAAGTGAGTTAAAAACACATTAAAAGTAAAATATAATAAACATTAGAGCCATTTGTAGAGTTTGAAAAGGCTTCTGGCGGCAATTCGTTGTTGTAGCTTCTTGGTTTATTGTTAGTTTTAGTCTAGTAAATTGTAGTAAGTTGAATAAGTTGAGAGTTTCATTTGTATTCTTTTCTAAATGATCTGTGCTTATTTCTGCTAAGCTGAAAACTGTATCATCTGCAAAAGTTGCCCCTTTAGACGGATGAGGCCAGTTGAAAGATGTGATGGAATTGAAATTTAAGCTCCATTCCGCCTTCAAGTTAATACAGAAAGAAGCTATGTTTTAACGACCATATAAACTAATATCCAACAAGACATGACAACTTCCGCACATACTTTCAGGAAAAAAATATTGTATAAACTTTGGGTAAAGGAAATGTAAGAAAACAACTGTACATAGCAAAGAGCATTAACAATCCTTGCATAAACGAACAAATGAATAATAAGTATTTTTCACAAATACACTCTTTTGCAAAAAAATAGAAGCACCAAGAAGGACTTTTGCGATCGTGACGAAATTTGGTATGCAAAAACATCTTGATCGAACATGGAAATGATCAAAGTTTCAGGGTAAATGAACGGAAATTACGATGATAGCGCGCATTTCTAGTGCGCAATTCGCAAAATATAAATCCAGTAACAGAGGCGGAAAGTTTATCTTTTTTTTTTTTTTTTTTTTTTTTTTTTTTTTTTTTTTTTTTTTTTTTTTTTTTGCTGCCATTGTAATTCCGTAAAGAAGCAACTAAAGATGCCATTACGACGATATCGAAGACTTTACAGACAACTAAACGACTTCAACGATGAACTTAAACGACGACTTAAACGATGGACGTAGTCGCATTGTAGGGCTGCGTGAAGCTGCGTGGTCATACCGAGCAATAGGCCGCCACCTGCAGAGTACAGACACTGTTGTGCAAAGATGTTGCCAGCAATGGTTGCTACAAGGAAATTGCAGACGAAATGAAGGCTCTGGAAGGCCAAGGATCACAAATGCCAGGCAAGGTAGGATGATTGTTCGCCAGGTTCGAACCGCCCCAACTATATCATTGTCGACAATTCAACGCGCTATAGCCACGTCTATACGTCCCGTGGTACCGTCCACCATCTCACGGTGCTTGTCTGAGGCGGAGTTACGCTTTAAGACTTTAGCTTTTGACTCCACACCATCGGCGGAGTCGTCTGGAGTGGTGTCGCAGCCGATGATCAGAGCTACCATCAGAATGGCATCGTATAGTGTTCAGCGATGAATCCCGCTTCACTCTTGAAGCAGATCATTTACCGTGTTCGTGTCTGGAAAGGACGGGCCAGCGGTCCCAATCAGTTTTTGTTTCACAAAGGCGTATAGCTATAATCCCTGGTGTGATGATGTGGGGCGCTATTTCTTATGACAGCAGGTCATCTTTAGTCATCCTCCATACATCTTTAAGACCCCAACGATATGTTAATACCGTCCTGCAGCCGGTTGCATTACTCTTCATGCCACCTCATCCTGGGAGCATTTTCCAACAAGATAATGCCATAATACATACCGCTGGCATATCTCTGGACTGTCTCCGTTAGGTTGATATTCTTGATTGGCCAGCAAGGTCAAGAGACCTTTCACCAATAGAGCATGTGTGGGGCATGGTAGGCTACTAGATTCGGGTACCACAAAATATCGCAGATCTGGAGTGACAACTGATAAATGCCTGGTAGAATGTGTCGCAGGATGGCATTAGGAACCTCTACCACTCCTTGCCTCGACAAATTCAAGCATGCATTGCCACCTGAGGCGGTTCGACCAATTACTAATTTGAACACACAGGGGATGATTGTGAACCGTGAACAAGTACTATGACCTTGATTTTTTTAATCATTTTATTATCTGTGTATGAGCTATACACATATTCATTTTCATCAAAAACAACCACTTCCTTTATGGTGCTTCGATTTTTTTTGCAAAAGAGTGTATTTTGAATCAAATAAACATTTTATTCCAATTATACATGATTTACTGGAGGTTTATAAGTGTAAATTTTTATAAATGCGGAATGCAGCAACTGGTCTAAATTTTTACAGGTACGTCAAGCATTAACGGCAAAGCATTTTTGAAGGTGCTCGGTGTGTCTCTTGAGGGCCCTGCCCTTGTGGACCCCAGTTTGGACTATATCATCATTACTTATGTTTAAACGTTGTGTGTCCACTGTACTTCATCTTGACCTGACTTGGCCGCGGTGTGTTTTAACCCTTTATGTTCCAAATTACTTTGTTTTTTGAAAAAGAGTTTTTAACTTCTTTATTATGTTTCTTTATGCATAAGAAACATCTCGCATTAAACTTGCAGAAACGTTATAAGTTTTCTCCTACTTAATTTTTTAATTTGGAACTTAAATTTCTGTTGGGGCATAAAAGAACGATTTTATTGATGGGACTTAGGGATGTCCGTAGGGAGATAAAAGGTTAAAAGAAATACACTCTGTTTTAAATTTTCGAAAGGTATTAGACGTTAAATTTGAAATTAAATGGAGCATAAAATTTGCCATTTGTAATTCGAAGAAAAAAGAAAAAAAAAAAAAAAAAAAAAAAAAATTGCGAAATACGATGTATTCTTTACATTTTAAAAAAGATTTAGATTAAAGGATATTTTCGTTTTAGATTGAGAAACTTTTCAGAATAGAAAATGTCAAAAAAAAAAAAAAAAAAAAAAAAAAAAAATCAATTGAAAAACAAACACCAGTTTTAACTTTTCCATTTCATTAACTGATGTCATATAAGTTGAAATCCAATTTAAAATTTAATATTATTCCTAAAAATCCTTTATTCCACATAAATTGCATGAAACTGAATTCGTATAGAGGCATCCTTATCGATATACTCATCGCTGAAAGACATGTAAGAACTCATTGCCATTTGAGATTGTCACTTTCTTATCTTAAAACCCTTTTCTCTAGAATCAGTGATATTACAGAAGCAAAGAATTACTTTGAAAGAAGAATTTCGTTGACTTCCCTTTTTCTCCGATTGGAGATTTTTAATCCATTCCTTTTTAATTTTCTCCTCCGAAATCAGATCAAGGAAATCTTTTTACATTTCACAATAAGAGCGTCTTCCGTTAACTTCCTTTTTGGTATTTTACTTATTTCTGAGAGTGACTGGAGATACCCTAGAAATGATGTTCTGACCTTTTTATGAATACCAAGATGTATAATTTGGTCTTAGGTAGCTCTGATATCTCGCTTCTTAAAATAGACAGTGTTTTTATGTCTATATCCTGTATGAAGTGACATCTTACTGACAAAAGAAATTTTTTGCTGATATTGAAAATATAATTAGTTCTTGTATACGCAGATTTATAAAAATTAAGTTAATAAAATATGTTTATTTTTTGTTAAACGCGCATAGAAATGATCTATAAACACGTTTCTATAAAAAATTAAGTTAAACATTAAAGGTGGTAAAGTTATACTTACAGTAATGGCAGAAGCAATTACGTTAAAATTTTAATATAATTTAAATGTGAAACATCTAAGTTCTCATAAAAAATTTGAGATCAAATAATGTTTCAGATGTTTTTCTCATTTTTGAATTCTTTTTCATCTTTACAGCATGCATGCATATATACATATCACTTTTCCAAATGCTATGGAAATGGAAGAAAAAGTAACCCTTCATGGAAGACTTTCTATACGAAAATGGCTGGTATTTATTACTTGAAAAAATGCTAGCATACAACCAACTATTTTAACTGCAAGAGACCCAGATCAGGAAGAAGTCTGAAAACAAAAGTGATTTTTTGATACATGAAGGTTACTATGACTTTAGTTTTGCAAAAATGTGATCGAGTTCAGTTTAAAAGTTTTTGTGGTTAAAAGCTGCTAGCAAATCTATTAACAGCAATATCGCATTTAAAATAGTTCAAGATTAAGTTGAAAAAGTATGTTAAACATACTCCGCATCCATAAAAAAATCATTATGCGGTAATTTTGCAATCGTTTGTCGTAGACATCTATTTTCAGTTACAGATATGTTTTGAATGACACAAAGATTCATATTTTCACATTTTATAAATTTCAAAATGTGAGTTTCATAAAATTCCGGAAACTAACTTTTTATACGGTCCCCAATACCTCTATAGTAAATTTTAGTAAAGGTTTATGCTTTTCTAAAACAGAAACACAAAATATTTGGCATTTTTTACTATAAAAATTGATTGAGACATTTAATTTCAAAATTTGAGATTTTTCAGTTTACTTTGAAGGGTCGGTTAAAAATATATATTAGAATAATTCAAGGCTGATTTTTGTTCTATTTTATTCTAATTTCAGTAAATGAGTACAACTGTCTTTAATTTATAATTTTGTTACATTTGGTATGTCACTTTCCTTTCCTTTAGTCCAAGGAAACAATGAAACTGGCAGTGGAAATACATACGGAGCACGCAGACGATAACGTATCTCCCCCTGTAAGTATATTTCTATATATTTAATGAAAAGATGTCATAAAATGCTAATGCTGTTCCACAATTTTTAGTAAATGGCATTGAATAGGGAATGTTGCCAATACTAGCGTAACGTTTTTAAAATAATTCTTTTTTTTTAATTCACATTTATGCGTTCCCACCACTGATGTTTCTGGGAATGTATGATATATTTATTTAGCTGTATATTTTTATTTCAGAAGAATGAGCATCGCATCATTTATACGGATTTCTTAATCAAATTAGATATTCAGAATTTTCTTAAACTAAAAATATCCCTTTTATTATATTCAAAAGCGTGCTATATTTTTTAAGTGTTTTGATAGTAAGTATCAAGCACAAATAAGTTGGAGATTCTAAGGTTAATCAATGTAGGGCACATACACATTTTCAAGTCATCTTTTACTATTTTTGTCGCGAAAATACGATATTTACGCATTTTTAAGAGAGGCGGCGAAAATGCGTAAATGTCTAATACTAGTTGTCGAAAATTCATAAATGTGTGATATAATGTATCGAAAGTGCTTAAGTATGTGATATTAAATATTCAAAATACTTAAATACCTCACGCTAGGGGTTGAAAATAAGTAAATATCTGTTATGAGTAAATTTTTGATACTTGAATTTAAAGCTAAAAATGAGTGAATATCTTATTCTCAGTTTGATGCTAAAAAGATAAGTATCAAACAAAAAATAAGATATTCACTCATTTTTAGCACCAAATAAATAATATAAGATAAAATATTATTAAGTTAATCCTAAATCTAAAAATATTTTGTTTTCAATACTAGCATTTTCAATACTAGCACATTTCGTCTAACAATAGCTGCCATGTCCTGATAATAACTAGAATAAGACATTTACGCAATTTTTGCTTGTGTGATACAAGATGCCAGACACAAAAAATTACAAAATCACATTTTTTTGGATAAGTAACAGTTTAATTACTTTGAATTTTATATACAAAGGATTTGCCTAAAAATTTTAATGGTATTATGTGTCAACGTGAATAAATTTGTTGTACTCTGAAAGCTTAACTTGTTTTGTGCAATTCTGAAATTTACATCCTAAACCTATAATCAAAGACTTAGGTGCAGGTGTTAATGGAGGCAGGCATCTGGGCTTGAGATCGATCCTGTATTTAACGACTTGGGTGAAATGGTCATAACATTGTTTTAGCTGACGTAGGAGAGGTGATAACAGAAGAAAATGCTAGGCCTAACGTCATTGGGCATAGAAAGTCTTTTGGATCCCGAGTTACGTCATCTAAACTGTGAAGATGTTATAGAATGGAGAACTACTGTTTAGCTAAAGATGGTAAAGAGTAATAAGCAATTAATGGTTGGCAGAGGCATTACTCGTGAGAAAGTCGTGGCGCTATATCAGAGAAGGCGAGCCACGTGAATTCAGCGTCCAAAATGCTCAGGAACAAGATGGAGAGATAATGTAGTAGCCAGGGCTTCTGGCTAGATCAGCTCGACCTATAACCAAACTGATATTTAGTTAGGCCTAACGTCATTGGGCATAGAAAGTCTTTTGGATCCCAAGTTACGTCATCTAAACTGTGAAGATATTATAGCATGGAGAACTACTGTTTAGCTAAAGATGGTAAAGAGTGATAAGCTATTAATGGTTGGCAGAGGCATTACTCGTGAGAAAGTCGTGGCGCTATATCAGAGAAGGCGAGCCACGTGAATTCAGCGTTCAAAACGCTCAGGAACAAGATGGAGAGATAATGTAGTAGCCGGGGCTTCTGGCAAGATCAGCTCGACCTATAACCAAACTGATATTTAACAGATATTTAACCGTGCACTCTGTTTTAAACATCATATACAGTAAAATAGTATTTTTTCATCTCTCATAGTTCTCTGTCATCTCTTCATAGTTATGTTGGCATAAATAAGTCAGAATCTCTCATTTTCATATGCACGAGATAAAGAAGAGTAAAATAGGCTGTAAATTTACGGTCCAGTTCATTTTATTATATTCTTTCATGTTGGCAAGATTTCACTATGCATAACTTATAAAAATACGAAATGGGAATTTTGTATTATCATGGTTTCAATATAGCAGCCACTGTCCACATGTGCCGAGTAAATGCTTGAAACAAGGCTGCTATGAATAATTTCTGCTTTTAATTTTGATTACTTTATTTCACATGAAATGAATTTTTCATTACATGAATGTGAAAGGTTATTTAATAGTGTCGTAAATATCTGTAATTTATCTTCTTGAGCGATATACCCCAGACTTTAGAGTCATGCATTGCACCCTTCATTATGTATGGCTCTAAAGTCTGGAGTATATCGCTCAAGAAAGATAAATATAATTATTTCGACGCCGTCAAAGGCTAGACTTCTGCGGGCATAGTGATACGTACCGTTATCTATTAGTCTGTTTAGCAATTTTCTATCTAGCTTTCCTCCATTGACATTGCCATTCTTCCTGCATTGCTTCAAGGAAATATTTTTCTGCTTCTGCTGTCTCGCAGTATTGTTGTATTTTTATCCATCTAATTTTCCTCATCATCAGAAAGATGCTGTAATTTTTCAGTGTGCAATAAAATCGTAGATGATTCGCCTGTACTTGCTGACTGATGGCAGCAAATTGTGGCCAGTTGTCCCGCAATTTGTTATCTTCAAAATGGTCTTGATTTGAGCACTTTCAATTTAGAATGAGAAATGAGGTACGTTTTATAGCTGAACTTTTTGTGCTTAAACTCGCCCTCAAATGGGTCTCTTTAACATGTGCTTTTTCAGACTTGTAGTGATTCCCTTTCATCCTTGGATATCTCAAAAAGTATTTCTTCTAATAATAATATCATTATCGAATTAAAAAAGAACTGAAATCTAAAGATAAAAATACTTTCGTTGTATTTTCATTTGTTCCTGGTCATCACAGTGTTGTTTGGGCAACGAAAGAGCCGATTTCTTTGCTAAGGCTGCGACGAATGGTAATTGACACTTTTGTCAATATCCCTAATTCCTTTTATACGAAGGTCATGTATAAATATTGTGGAGTCGTGGATCACGAATTCTATTCAATAAAGGAGCTTACAAAGAGATTTTCCCCCTCTATCAAGTGAGATTGTCAATTCATCCTTCTTCACATACTATAATGTAACCAATTTCTTCTAGTCATGAAATTTAAAAAGTTTTTTGATGCTTTAGTTGAGCCCGTGTCGTCTGCGATTGTTGCCGCGGTGGAGAGGAGAATTTTTTACATGTGCTTATTCGATATCCTAAATATGAAACGAAAGGAAGTCTTGAACGGAACTGGAAAACTTAATATTAACTGCCCTCCAAATTTTCCATTTTTTTTCCTAGAGAAGTGCTTTAACACTTTTTGTCAATTCATTATGGAAACCTTGTAATCATCCTTAATTTTATTTCAGTTTTTTCTTTTGTTTATTTTGTATTGTGTTTCATACTTACTTCTGTAAGTCCCATGTGATACTATGTGGTACATAGGGAATTTATTGTGTTTTTTTAATTAAAAAAATAGTGTGTTCGTGTCTTATCCAGGTTTTGTCCTTTTCTCTTCTAACAAGGAAGGCCTTCCAAGCTTTAAATTTAGACTGGTTGGAAAAAATAGAATTTGTTCTACACATTTAAAAAAGAACAATGCGATTCAATTAGCTGTTGCATTCTGAAAGATAATACAGTAAATATAACCAAATATGAAATTACTTTTCACCAACTGACAAAATTTGACACCACATTGATATTTTGGAAAATTACAAAATAGTGCTTCATCATCATATCTAGTGTTTACATATTTTAACTATAATTTTACTACCTTTAAATCAATTCAGCAGACAACTGAATAATTACTTGTATTATTTATTTCTAAACGTGTAACGTTCTTTTCAGTTTTTTCCCTCGTCAGCAAATGGTTGTCATATTTACTCAATAACTTAAAATTACTTGAATAGAATGTCATACCCTCTTTATATTTTAGAAAAAGTTTAGAATAAGTATTTTATTGAAGTCTTGAAGCAATTCTAAGTAATAGAATATTACGGTAATAACCTATGTGTCTTATTAAGTATTTAAACAGTACAATTATTCTATACAGTAAGATAATCATCTTCCTTCCTTTCATTTTGCAAATTCATTTATCAAAATACTTTTTTATAACACTTTAAAATTCAACACCAAAACTATTACAAAGATATGGTACTTTCGAGTAAATATAGTATGTATCTTCTTCTATGAGTTGTATGAAAGTGTAAATGAACGCTCACAAAAAACAAATGCGTTGATAATCAGAAGTAAGGAATTATAATACCTATTTATGTAATTCACAAATGCTCAAATACATGGAATTAAAATTTTGCCTATATCTACTTCTTTATTATTTTACATTTTCATTTCGAGAACTGACCTGACATAAAAGAAAGTGTGATTTATCTGACTAGATAATTGTTTTCCAGTTTTACATGGTCAAGTTACTGTTGCTGTTGCTTTTCCCCCGGGTACTGAAAAAGTCAGAGAAGGTTCAAAAGATCATTGATTCTAAGAACGCCGAGCACAAAGAAGGGAATTGGTATAAATATCCTCGCTAGGCATAAATATCCTCCACGAGCGTCCTGTGCACATACCCTGTTAGCAACGTTGGTAACTGAGTTTCCATGGCTTTTATTCAAATAGCCCAATTCTTAGCATCTCAATAGCTGTAAATGTTTCAAACGAAACTTAAGAAAGCCACTGAACAGAGCTGTCTGTGTAGAATATTTTGAAATAGTCTCCAGTTTGTAAATTTCTTGATAGAGTAGACATCTGGTTTGGGAGTGTTTACGATATCTATAATAGGCATGAGATCAGAGTTGAGGTCTTCGATGACAGAGAAATCCATAACAGTGCTTTTGCAAGAATGAAAAATTCCGATATATCAGGTCATGCTTGAAATAAGAGCAGTTAACGATCAAATCATGTAATTGACTCCTGAAATTTGTATCATTACAACTCAGCATTTTAATCCCT